ATATCTCTGTGGTAAGTGGAAGGATTCTTACAATTATGACCATCTATGAGACCGTGACCAGGGTATTTGTATCTGTATTCGGTATTGGTATTCATGAATATGCTAGTGTATACGCAAAGCAGGTGCCTTGTGTGAGGTGACCCACTATAACTGTGTCAGTCTGCTTTAGATCTTTGACAAAACTTCACTGCCCTCCTTCGTCTCTTTCTCTCACACTCACACACAATCTCTCTCTCGCTCTCTTTCTTTCCCTCCCACCTGCCATCTCTGTCTCTGCTGATCTGTTCCGTTGTGGCCTTCGCCCACTCAGGGCTCAGAGCAACACCAGTAACACTTTGCAAAATGCTTCACAAAAACACAAACAGTACCAGCCAACCCTTTCAGCCTCTCAAATGTTTGCGACCTCAAACACCGACATGGGCATGTATATTTTAAGCTCAATAAATTTACCGTGTGATCCTCTGCAGACGACTGGAGGCAATTTATCACCACAATCTCTCAAGCAATACATTCAATACATCAATCGCTGAATCCACTGAATCCATCAATCAGACAAACAAAGCATTTAGACCTGAATGGTCTTCAGGGACACAGCTGAAGTGAACATAAGCTGTGTTAAATGGACGGCAGTCTTATCTGTGTTGAGGTAACTGGAGCCATGGGCATTGAGAGCCTGGGCTGGGCCATTAGGATGAGCCATTAACACATTTTACAGTGACAAGCCCATAGCAGCAATGGAGCAGTGTGAGACAGCCAAGTAGTTTTGTCCTGCCTTAGGGATATCTCAGAGACAGACAGAGAAAGATAGAAATAGTGAGAAGCTATGCGGTTGGTCATGATATTATCTGGGAGGGATAAATATCTACCAGTAGCTCGACAATGAATTTATTCTTGGGCAATTCATTATATCACAAGTGTTTCAAGTCTGTAACACCCTAATGGCTTCAAGCCACATTTCCTCTGAAAACCAAATATCGTAAACAGAAAGCTGTAACCCTTTCATTCATTCATTCATTCAAACAAACAACACTAAACAGACAGTTCTACCATCTGTACTTTAATTGGACAATGTGTGCTTAGTCTACCTCCAAGACATTTTGGAGAAAAAACAGATGATGAAGTAAATAATCTTTTATATAATATTTTAAAATAAACACTGTAGGAAGGTTAACACAAACCTGTCCATAATTCAAGTATTTGTCTAACTGGGAATGTTGTGTGAGGAGCACATGTTCTGGTACACTGTAAACATTGTGAAGCTAACTGTTATTACAACATGTTTTTCAAACATTGGTAACACCTAACCTTCTTAGAAGCTGTCAAAGGCATTGCTGTAGGTCATGATAACACTTTCTGTTAGCTGAGAAGGTAATATTGTGTATTAGTATTACATCAACATTGACCCAAAGTGATAGATTGGTACCAGATCAGATTTTGCATGTTTCCTTCTCCAATCCTCTATTATTTTATTTTCATGCTCTGAAATTATGTGGTGTTGACTGGCACAGCACAGATCCTGCTCATCACTGTTCTTTTTTTCATTCACACATTTTTATTCATTTTTAAAAAAACCTATGCCGAAATTTCATTTGGATAAATTTTAGACATAATTCACTCAGTTTTTACAAGCGAGTGTGAAACATTTCACAGGACATTTGGTTGAAACTAGAAACAAAAAGTCACATGAGCGGGAGGTTTTTACTTTCATGTGGGTGTGAGTAAGAGTTCATTAACATGAACATACAGCTTTCATTCATTCATCTTTAGTGACTGCCTGGTCAGGGTGGTTTAAATTAGGCTACTGGTTTGTTCATAGTTTGGGAAATTGACCAACTTAACTTTGAGAATTTGAATGACTTAATTTGTTAGAAAATATCATGATACAAAAAAAAAAAAAACCTGTCACATGCACATCTCTAGCTGAGATCAGTAATGAACTTGAGTGATGTAGTTGAGGTTGAGGAACTGTCAGAGCCAGAATTCAAACAACATGCTGATACTGCCGGCATTTCTGTTTTTTTCCCTAGTGTTTTCCAGTGTTTCCGGAGGCAGAGTGGTATCCTTAAATCCCTTCTGATTTAGGCCACGCCCCCTTCAGTTTAAATCTGAATATAGAAATGGATATTTGGAGCACTAAACAGATATAGATACAGATAATGATAGTGGCATTGTGTTACACCCCTAGTATCTTGTATCAGACAATACACAAAGCTCTCATATATACTGAAAATTAAAAAAAGTTATCTGTGCAGCGCTGTCTGGGTTGCCTGCATCCACACACCCACATACAGAAACTCGAACTGATGAATGACAGCGATGTGACAGGCCGCGGGTGGATAAGTGGACGCACTCCATCATCTACCTGCACTCTTTTCTAATCCCCCTCTCACTCTTTCAATGCTTTTTACAAGCAAGCATCTCCATATCCACTGATCACGCAATTGCAGTCTATTTGTAACTGTAACTCCCTCTAACTGTTTCTGCATGTTTGGAATTTAAAGTAGACACCTAAGATGAAACCAAAAAGGAGTTTTAATGTGTTCTAAAGAACTATTTCAGGAAGCTATTACACGGCATCAACCCTTCAAGGATTCTACACCAGCTGTGCTCAAAAGAAATACTATTAGGCAACAGTATGTCGAACAAAAACGCCCATTTTGTTGATTCGTTTCATCTGTTCCAAGAGTTTTTGTTAAATTGGTACAGCAGAGAGAAATGAGCAGGCCTTGTGAAGTGTGCTGTGCACCGTGAGGCCGATGCGCTACTCCTGCAAGCATCTCCAAGCCTGCTGGGTTTTTTTCCCTACCATCTCCTGCAGAGCTTGGGATTTTCTGAGGGCAACTTCAAAACCCTTCTAGCCAGGCACGACTCTGTTGCTTACTGTCAGCCCTGTTTTTTTTTAAGGCTTTGTAGATAGGAAAAGGTTTATATAATCCCTGCCCCTTATCCCTTGAAAAAAAAAAGACAGTCACGTTGCATGATGAGTGCTGTATAATGTATGGTGAAATCAAATGAACATAAGCAGGAAAGCAGGAAACGGCATCTGCTGCAAAGGAGATGCAGTGGGTAGCACATTGTGAAACACCACACTGTCCACAGACACGTCAGTATTTATATAAATGTTGATGTACTGACTGTTACAGTGAATGTAATAGCATGTGGTACTGTACACGACTACACTGTAAAACCCACTCTGGTTCTGTAATTTCACCATACTAAATGTACAGTAAGCAAAGGAGAAGGGGCTCCATGGTCACTAACTCTCTCTCCTTTAGGTTTAAACTGTGTAACCATGGGTGCGGTGGTTTACCTTCAAAAGAAAATATAGAAAAACTAGTTCTGCTGTTTAAAGTTGAACTAACTATTAAAAGAGTTACAACAAATCAGTATTTTCAGGTGCAGTGAGTCCCTTGAAATATGCTTTAAGATTTCAAAACAGTGAATGAAGATCAAATATACCAGATGCAAATCAGAGAAATTAGCATTTCTAGATTCTTTTAATAAACCATAGAACTACTATTGCTACTACTGCTACCACCATGGCCATAATTAGCCATGAGGACACTGCCTGAAGTCTGGACCTTGATAGTTTCAGAAGGTTTTATTTCCCTCCAGTTGTCAAATTCAGTGTGGAAAAAGTGTCATGCTGATCACGCGGTGGCAGAATGCAGCCTACTACGTGAAAGCTGCATTCCAACATTACGAGGTTAAAGAAAAACATTACAAGGTTAAAGATCATGTACAACGTACAGTAATTAATAGTTAAGAGTGTATGATTTTTTTAATGTCTACACTTTAACTAAAACAGATAAGCAGCAGTATTTTTCCTCAAGTGCCTACTGGCTACCAAAAAACCCTGTATATACATCAGTTTCTTTTGTGGCTGGCTTGACCATGGTATGCTGCATGACCAGAATTCTTGTTGAGAGATATGCAATGCACATACACTATACGGCCAAATGTATGTGGACAACTGACCATCACATCTTTCCAAAATCATGGGTATTAATACGGAGTTGCCCCCGCCTTTGGGACTATAACAGCCACCACTCTCTGTACAAGGTTCTATACAAGATTTTGGAGTTTGTCGGTGGGAATTTGTGCCCATTCAGTCAAAAAAGCATTAATGAGGTCAGGCACTGATGTTGGATGAGAATGCCTGGCTTACAATCGACATTCCAATTCATCCCAAAGATGTTCTATTGGGTTGAGGTCAGGGCTCTGTGCAGGGCATAGGAGTTCCTCCACACCAAACTCATCAAACCATGTCTTTATGGACCTCGCTTTGTGCATGGGGAAACAGTCTTGCTAGAACATGAAAGAGCCTTTGCCAAACTGTTGCCACGAAGTTGTGGCAGTGTGCTTTACACCACTCCAGACAACGCTTGGCATTGCACATAGTGATCTCAGGCTTGTGTGCAGCAACATGGCCATGGAAAACCATTTCATGAAGCTCCTGACGCACAGTTCTTGTGCTGATGTTGCATCCAGAGGCAGTTTGGAACTAGTGAGAAATGCAACAGAGAATAGGCGGTTTTTACGGGTTATTTGCTTCAGGTTCGGCGATCCTGCTCTGTGAGTTTGCATGGTCTACAACTTCATGGCTGAGAAGCTGTTGCTCCTACATGCTTCCATTTCACATTAAAAGCACTTACAGTTGACTGGGGCAGATCTTTCATGAACTGACTTTTGGCAAAGGTGACATCTTATGATACTGCCACGTTTAAAGTCACTCAGCTCTTCAGTAAGGCCCATTCTACTGCCAGTTTGTCTATGGAGACTGCATGGTTATGTGCTTGATTTTATGCAACTGTTAGCAATGGGTGTGGCTGAAGCACTTGAACTCAATAATTAAGAGGGGTGTCCACATATTTTTGACCATATAATGTATTATAGGTTAACATCTGACACACTTAGGATATAAATGTTTGAGCTTATGTTAACCTCAAGTTATTATTATTTTTTTTTAACTTAGACTACTCGACATACTATTAGCTGGGTTCCTGGAGGACTAGTGGTTAGGTCATGGCGCTCTCACCGCCATGGCCTGGGTTTGATTCCCAGCCAGGGAAAAATGACAGTGCACTCCCATTACCGATGCCAAGCCTGGATAAAATTGGGGAGGGTTGCATCAGGAAGGGCATCTGGCATTTATTAAAAAAAAAGTGCCAAATCAAATATGTGGACCAGTGATCTGCTGTGGCGACCTCTAATGGGAGCAACTAAAAGAAGAACAACTCGAAATATTACTAGCCAAATCAGCTTCCTAGCTGCAGTAATATTAGAATTTAGGCTACAAGCTGGATATAAATAAACACTTCACATTAGTTAGATTTAAAGTTAAAGTTCATTTAATAAAGTTAATTATTAACTATTGTACTGAAGGGATGATATTATGTAACAAAGAAATAAACAGGTAATTTAAGCTAAACCAAAATATTTAGCTCAATAAAATTAAATGTACATAATGTATATGTACAGTATGTTGTACACATTCAGCAGAAAAGATTAAGGTATTCATGATAAGGCATTCAACAGAACAATACACAATCAGTAAGAAATTAACTATAAAACCATGGAAGTTACTTCAAATTATGAAACACACTCTTAGAAAAAAGAGTTCCTCAAGGGTTCTTTGTCTAGTTAATTGTTATTCGCTTCTTAAAGAGGTTCTCCCTGGAGCCTTCTCTGACATTCTGTTGTAAGCTTCTGCAAAGAACCTTTCCAGGTTTTGCCAGAGGTTCAACAAAAGAACCCCTAAGGCTTTTAGATTGATCCTTCTTTTCTAAGGCTGCACATACAGAAATGTTCAAAGGTCTAGGCACCATTTTTTTGTCTTTGATATTTTGTGCTTACAGATGTCTGTATGTCAGTAAAGAAAATAACATATTAAGTAACAGATCACTTTTGTGAAAAAACACAATCAAGGCTGTCTGGGATTAGCTGCTGAGACAGAAGACTGAAGTTTGCAAAAGAACTGTTGCAAGTTCTCCTAGATGAAATAAAATTATATAACTGTCATATTTTGGATGTTTATAGACTAAGGTTAGGGTTAAGGTCATGGTTAGAACAACTAAAATACACCTTCCTCCAGCTGAACTGAGTGATCATTAGGATTAAATGCAGGCCTTCCTCAGCTGTGAGTTAGATTAGTCTTCAAGAGCTCAGCAAGATATATAGGGTTTATTATTTTTTAGTTGTAGTTATCATACCTTGAATTTTTCATATAGTTACACTCCTACATATAAACCTAATTTCTCACAGTTGATCTAGTTAATGTCTTCAGAAGTAGAGGTTCGTTTGCTTGCTCAGCAGAAACACAGATCTCTAGCAGAAGTGTCAGTGACCACTGAAATAATTCCATCCATCAGCGCTCATTTCTTAGTTCGTTCTGCTCCGATATCAGGTCATTTATCTCTTCTACTTAACCTTCTCTGCTGAACGCTGCTGTTTGGATTCATTTGCTTTCAACTCATTCTTACAGTTCACAGCTCTGCTGCCACCCACAAGCTCACAGGAGTTTCATCTCTTCAATGTCCTCAATTCTTTTGCTTCCTTCCTCTCCAAAATAATCTCTCTTTCTTAGAGATTAATTTCAGGAGAGGTGAGAACTCTTAAAGCTTACCATTGTCTGGACTGAATGCAAGAAGTTCAGTTTCAACTCACAGAGCTACGAAAGGGACTTAGGATGCATCAGTCCAGTGCTGAATATATTGAATTTATCAAGTCAATAAAGTCCTAAATGGCTGGATTGACTTTCAGACCCACTCTTTATTGCATAAATGTGGGCACTATGATGGTAAGTTATCAGTATTGCAATAAATTATGTCTCAATACACTCTTTAGTTCTTCTAGGACATTAGCTATCTTTTTTTTTTAATTAATTGTAGAGAGACTATAAATAAACAGTGGTATTATACTATCAATATTAGTATATAATGCTACTATTATTTTTATTTTTATTACTTTTTTGTTTTTAACAATTATTTCCTCATGTTCCATCTTAAGCAGGGGTGGAAAAGTACAGAGAAACTGTATTTAATTAAAAGTATGGGTACTATATTCTCCAACAATTGTGAACATATCATTTAAGTTTAGTCTCGACAGTGTTGACAAAGACGAGGTGAAAAATCTTCCCATTGCTAGCGAAGGTGATAATAATACCAGTGTTTCTATGCACACAATCGACTTTAAGGCTTACCGGAAATCATTGCACCCTGCGTCTACGTACTTCCTTTTTTGTGAAAAGGACCCATTATCACAGTTGTGCACAGTTTTGTTTGCAATTGATTTGAATTTGATTGGACGTCTTCAAAAACAAAAAATAAAAAAGCAAAAACTGACAGGCGTAGCAGATGGGCAAAAAAAAAAACCTCATTGTATTTGAAAGTTTTATCAAGTACTTTGAAGGTCAAAGTGAAAATGTAAGGATGGAAAAAATATGTTTTTTTTTCTCTTGGAAATTTACTTGCATGAGAGTATAAGTATTCGGTTTCAATAATACTTGAGTGAAGTACAAATCTTCCAGAGATTCAGTAACAAAGCACATTTACTCAAATATTTTCTGCCTGTGGTCTTAAATATGGTTTAAATTGAATTTAAAATATTATTGTGTTCATAGTTTTTTCAATGTAGCCCTATTGCATTTCACTACAGTACTCTCTTGAACAATGAAAAAATTAAATATTGCGGTGCACAATGAAAAGAGTGTCATAATATTATATTTTTGCCATATCACCCATCACTAATGACATCTGATAATTAATATATTCATATTAAGAAGAATTACAGTCAATGCAGTGTCCTCACAGCAACACCGTTTAAATAGCCTTTGCGATTATTAAAGTGACAAAATAAATGTTAATATCTGGTCAGTATTAATATTGATCAATGCTTACAACTCTGATATTGGTATCATGTTGAAAATGAAAAACGATTGAATAGGAGCATCCAGAAAGAGGACAGTCAGCACTGAAAAAAATCGAAAGAGGCAAAATGGAGATTTTCTGGTGACAGCAGCATTATGCAGATGTAGCCTGGCTACAGCACCGTTGGACTTAATGAGAACCAGCACGAGAAGGCACATTGAACAAATCAGCCTTAGTGTGAATTGATTATCCTGACCTCAGCTTGAACTGGGAATCAGCATGTGTGTATGCGTGTGTATGTGTGAACATGCAAATATGTGCATACAGTCTTTATTAACAATAGCACTACATCAGGTGCTATAGAGCTGTGTGAAGGTATGACAAGCATGCAGAGAATTACTTTTGTTTTCCATTTTGGTGGATCACAAAAGGAAGCAGTCCTATTCACAGTAACATCTCCTTGCGTACATGTTGCCTCCTGCGTATTTCATATGCTCTTGACATCATTAAGACACACTAGCACAATACATAACAAAAACTTCACTTGTCCTAATTTTGCCTGTGCTGAGGAAATAATTGGGGCCATCCAGACAAGCATACATCTTTACACATATGAATGCAGACATACAAGCACAATTTCACATATGTATGAACATGTACAAGATATGAGCATACACAGGCACACACACACACACACACACACATACATACACACACCCACGCAAATATAAATCACCCGGCAGCCGTGAGGGAGAGAGAAAGCTGGGCTGTGAGGAGATGACTCAGAGGTGTAGGTGTGTTCTGCTCGACAGATCTTCTCTCTCCCTCTCTTCTCCTTCTTCTTCTTTTTCTTTCCTCTCTACAGTTTTGATATACTGATGGATTTAAGCAGCTGTGCCAGAAAAAACGGCTGAGAAATCTGAAGGGATGGTCAAACTGTGCTACTGCATTCAGTCTGAGTGATTCAGACTGATGCTGATTTCAGAAACACAGCTGCAGGTTTCCCTCTGGTTAAAAGTTCATATCTCATTGTTTATGCTAGTAAGGGAAGCGTCTGTGGTGACTAGCTCTCTCAGATGCGGCACCGCTCCCCAACAGACTCATTAGAAAAGCCTTGAGTCTTCAGTAAGCTACAGCTAGCTCCTCTCTCTGACAAAGACACGTCTCTGTTTGTGAAATTTTGGGGTTCTTCCATAGACTGATAGCCCACTGCTGAAAAGCTTGCAGTGCCACAATACCCAAGGGAACTAACTCTGTGGCTGCCATCAACAAGCACATTATCCTCAAGAGGAGGCAGTACCACACACTGTGACCTGGCTGAATCTGATTGGCAAGCACAATAATGCCTTCCACATATTAGGGTGGCAGAGTGACTAGCAATCGCCAATTAATTGCTTCAGTGTTAAGGAGCTCTTTCCTGAACTCACCATGAGGCTGAGTGCCACAGTGTGTTCAAAGAGGATTGATATGTCCAAAATAGGTGGCTCATGTGGGCCAGTCATCCATGTACAACAGTATTCAGTACCCCCTGGCCATTTGCATACATAGAGATAGGTCAAAAGGTAGATCTTGAATTGCCTGTCCTTGGAAGCAAAACCTTAGCATATGGAAAGAGAGGGTGTTTAGGAACCAGTTCAACCCACTCAAATCTAGAACAAGGAAGTATGTTGAGTAAAACCTGAATAGGCCCTGAGCTGCAAGAAAGCTTGCTAAGCCCCAAACTGGAGAAACTTGAATGTCCTTGCAACAGCATCTTCAGGACTCTGATTCGATGTAATTACTGCCTAATGACCAATTTTTTCCACTGTAAAACTTTCTGCCACTAGCACCTACCCTCCTTGGGCCTGCTCCTTGGGACCCTTTAGTGGTGGTGGTAGGTACCACCCCATGAGATGGCGCTCAAGCGGTACGTCCCTGAGGACATGATGCTCCCTGCCAAAGACCTGCATGAGACAGGTGGAACCTTTGCGGGGAGCTGGGTTGTGGTGACCTAAAGTGCTTCTGTGGATGTTCTGTTTAGCCATCTAGTGAGACCACCAGTAATGTGATAAAGTGCTAAATCATAGGCATAGCAAACTCATGCTCCTCTGACGAGGAAAGGGGAGGATTACCAATATAAGTAGGGCCCTATTTAAGGATATAAGCCTCCAAGTTGCTCCTTCTCCGGTCCCAGCTCCTGAATCATCTATTTCAGCTGAGCCATG